AAGAACCAAGATACTCATGTAATGGTACAAGATCCCAATGATGTATGTAAATGTATTTTATACCTAAAATGTACCAATAAACTTAATGGGGGAAAAAACATTTTAAAAAGAGCAACAAGTCCCAACTTTTTAAGCAAGTCCATCTTGAATTTGCTCATTACCCACATTTCTTTAAATTGTCTCTCCTAGAATCACTGTGTTTCCTTGAAAAAAAAAATTAGGAAATTAAGAAACAAGATAAAAGGGCAATTTAAAAAGCACACACCAGGCAGAGCTGAGATAAAAACTCCAAATTCCTGACTCTTCTCATGACCACCCCATCTCCTCCACACTGTCTCCCTTACATTCAGTCTTAAAATGGAAAAAAAGGAAAACAGACCTAGCATATTTTTAATTAGCCTAAAAGCCTTCCACAGTTTACTGAAAAAGCACCTGTTCTCAGTGTATTCATTCTTTACTCCTAACAGTTACACATGGACATTAAAAAGTTCTCTTCCTGGATAGAACTGTGTTACCAAAGGGAAGGAATAGTTTCACAGTGCACAATTATCTTTCAATAAAGACTCTAACATATTTGCATAAACCATTACCAAATAATAATTGTAAGTTTGCACTAGTATGCTAAAGACCTTAGCTCATCTATGCTCCACACTGAATAAAAAGTTAGCAATCAAATGCTCCATTATTGCTCAAATACAGAAATTTGAGAGCTTTAGCATAAAATCTTATCTCTGAAGCACAATTCCTAAACTATGTTCTCAATCATTGTCCAGCTGCAAATTCTACCCCACTTCATTCACTTTCATTTCTTTGTTAACACTATTCCTCATACCTCAGTGACCTCAGTAAAATACAGCAAATGTCATCTTTCATGCCAAGAGTCAGAAGATCTGCTACAGGATCACTAGTCCTCCCTACTGCCCAAACCCACTGTCCTTCTAGTCTGTTAGTTTAATAATGTCTTTCAAGGTTCCTTTTGTCCTGTTTAGCATATCTAAAGTTTATTTAACATTTTTCTGTTTCTACTTCCTCCAAATTTCTTCACTGCACCCTCCATAGACAGGCTTCCCTATTTTAGCTTGAGTCTCAACCTTTAGGGTAACCAAAAAGATCATTAAGTAAACCACTAGAAATTACCACAGAAGAATGAAAAATATAGAAGAATCACAGACAAAAATAAGAAAAACAGATTTAATGTTAAAAGTGGAAAGAAGGTAGGTGAGAAGAACTCTCTTTGAAAGAAACCATTACAGGAATACAGGAAAGGGATCGATAAATCAAAGGAAGATTTTAAAAAAATACAGGAAGAGGGCTGGGGACTTAGCTCAGTGGTTCCAGCACCTGCCTCACAAGCACAAGGACCCGTTCAATCCCCAGTACCAAAGAAAAAAAAAAAAAGTCTTTGAGAACAACTAGGGCAGGGGATTTAGCTCAGTGGTTTCGCCACCTGCTGCGCAAGCACAAGGACCCAAGTTCAAACCCCGGTACCAAAAAAATACAGAAAGCTAAGAATTGAGTCCATAGACAGGGAAGTCACAAACACACAACAGAAAAGATCAGGTGGCAAAAGATGACTCTGGAGCATCTAATTTAACTTGTCATTAAGGAAAAAATCCCCAAGGAAAAGCTGACAAACAATTTAATAAAGTCTGCCCTCAGGCCCTCTAACAAGTGCCCCAGATACTGTATGCCAGAGTTTCAACACACTGCACTTTCATTTTTCAGGTCAAAGTGCCTGTTCTCAAGTTTCTGTCATAAAACACGGCCAGCCACGCATGCCCATTCTAAAAGAGACATTAGTTTAGTTAACCAGCAGAGATTAACTCACAGTATCTACAGAAGCAGGGTGATCAACTTCCCCTGCTTTGCCCAACGGTAGCGCTGAAAAGCCTTGGGAATGAGAAAGCTCCAAGTCCAGGGCAGCCTGTCACCCACAGGATGACGGCTACGTCTTCCTGACCTTTCTACAGCCCTGGGAGTCCACGCTAACTGCCACAAAACCGTCTCTCCAAACTGCCTTCCCAGAGCCAAACACTGCTGTGAGCTACTGATCTCCCTCAGTAAGTCCCTCTCATTAATCATCACCGAATAAATTCAGCACATCAGGGGCAAAAACGCCTCTTGATCAGTAGGTGTCACACCCCTTGGCACACTTTCGATGACCAATAAACAGTTATTTCTATTAACATATAAATTAATTCCAAAACTTGGAGCTTCATCTGTGGGACCGCTTGGTTGGCCCTAGAAATTCAAATTATGAAAATCGGGACACAAAATTAAAAAGTGAATTTTAAGTACATGAAATTCTACATTTAAGAATCATGCTTTGGTTTTTAGCAACAACATATAGTACACTTGAATTCTGGAGGGATGGAAGAGGAAGCAAAGATCAAAAGCCCAAAATTTATCAAGTGTCAACAACCAGTTCCCCCCCGTCTCTGTCCCCATTGGGAAGCCTGCAAGCCTGAGTCCCACGGAATGTGTCCACACCAACATTCTGTCCTCTGCAGGGTGTGGGAGGTGTCCACACGGCATGATGCAAGTGTGGCTCGAGGCCTAGGGACTGTCACCCCACACAGAGGACCAGGGGAGGGGAGGAAGGGACAGGTCTGGAGGCTGTCACCCCACACCGGACCCTGCGTGGGGAGAAAGGGACATGCTTGGGACACCCGGGAACTCTGGCGCAGCCGCAGGGCTACCTGCTGGCCTACCTGACGGCCTACCTGCCCTCCTTGGCCTCCGGGGCCGAGCCGTGGTCCGTGAGGACCTGGGGTCGCAGGGGGCGGCGCTGCCGCAGCCCGTCCGCCTCGTTCATCCTGAAGCCGCAGTTCCTAATAATGCCACCCGCCCTTGGCGCGAAGAGGTGATGTCACGCCCTGGCCCGCCCACAGCGCACGGAAGTAATGTCACGCCCTCGCCCCGCCCCCTCCAGCACAAGCAGGTGACTCTGGTCTTCGGCTCGTCATTGGCTGCGCGCGACAGGGACCGGGTGCCCCTGGCCCGCTCCCGAGAGATGCAGGCGTGTAGTTCTCTCTGGTTGGGTCGGGTATTGACGACATCGCCCTTCTATGAAGGCTCCAAGGTCGCCCTTCAGGAAGTCATCTCTAAGGCAGAGTCCAAGAAATGGCGGAGTACGCGAGTTACATACAGGCCTCAGGGGCTGAGCGGGGGTGGGAAGCGGAAAGGACCCTCTCCCGTGGACTCTAAACTGATGGAATGGCTTTATTCAGGTCGCCCAAATCCATGTGAACCTTCATGTCACTATCTTACGGGGGACGTGATCTTGCGACAGCGCCTGGAGGGTGCAGGAACAATGGGATCGGGGGTTCCAGGCCGGACGCCAAGTCTTATTCACACTGCTCCGGGAGTCACCCTGGGAGAAGGACCCTCAGGTCGGCATTGGGATCCCCGGACCGCGCGCTGAGGCTTTCCGGCTGCAAACGTGCCATTCTCTTTGTCAAAGCTAGATGCCGGAAGAATGCCACGTGAATGTGCTGCATTCGTTCAGCGTTAAGGAGCCAGTCTGGAGCGGGTGGAGAGCTCCTGTCCAACCCAAATCCACTTCCCTAGGGTTCTGCCAAGGTTGTAATTCAGCCAGTCTTGCCAACACTACTTCATTCTGTGTCCTTGAATACAGCCCGTGTAGCTACAGTGTCAGGGATAATTCTAAGGGCTATATAATCCGGGCCCTTGCCTGTGTTAACCTCCCTACCCTAATTCCATTTCTGATACGGGAAATTGCTCACCATTTCTGGCGATATCTTTCTGCCCTTGTCCGTGTTATTCCTTCTTCCTTGTGATACATTTTCCTTCACTCCAAGGTGGGTAGAACCACTTTATCACTCCTGGTCCACTTCCAGTATGATTGCTGAAAATCCTTTCCTCAGTTTCCCAACCGGAACGTCTTCCTCTTTGTTTCCAAGGCGCTCTGAACAAGCTGACTATAGCCATAAGTCCATTGCATTGGGCTTATTTGTATTCCACACAATGTTAAAGTGCACAGATCAGGCCCAGTAAGGTGGCACATACCTGTAATTCCAGCACTCAGGAGGCTGAGCAGGAGGATTGTCACAAGTTCAAGGCCAGCTGGGACTACATGATGAGTTCAAAGCCAGACTGAACTATATAGCAAGACCCTGTCTCAAAACAAAACAAAAAAAATGCACGGATCAGGAACACATCCATTATAAAAACAGTAAGATGATATTATTAAACTTGGGACAGCAAAGGAATGCACCAGAGAACCTGTGGGCTCCTCAAAAGGGGAGGTGTCACAGAAGAGACCTCCCAGGGCCTGGGGGCTGGAGTTAGTTGTAGTCTTAGCAGGTGAGGTGAGTAGATTGAGGAGCCAGTAGTCTTGTCTCTGGACCACAGGAGCCCATGGGGAGCTGCTGGGAGACAAACTCATGGCCTCCTCTTGGAGCACACGGGACTGCTCATGCAGTCCCAACTTAGATCACATGTGTTGCACAGCATAGTTTAGTAGAATTTTTGCTTACACAACATGGTGAGGTGCACTTCACTTGTGTCTTATCCCAGTTCTATCCTCCCATCCCACTCTCCAACCCAGCTGCCAACCAGATTGACTTTGCTTTCTCTTTGTGCCAGTTATGGTCAGAGGAATGGGAACACTGTGATTGACCCAATCAGGTTTCTCAACTTCAGTGCCGTTAATTAACACTTTGAGAAGGTGCAGAGGACACCCTGTGCACTACAGCAAGTTTGGTGGCATCCCCAGCCTCCTCCCACTAGGTGTCAGTAGCATCCCACCTAACCACCTGCTGCAGTTTGGATCCAGAGCCCCAAAGCCTGTCTAGTAAACGAGCTGTTCCCTGGATGGGCTCCTGGGAGTGGTGGAACCTTTCAGGGGTGAAGCCTAGGTCACTAGGTCACTGGGCTCGTGCCCTCAAAGGCAACAGTGGGACCCTAACCCTTCGTCTTCCTCATATCCCTGTCTGGGGGTGAGGGTTTGCACCATCAAATGCACCACCAGGAGGCACAGCCACCAAAGCCCGGAACCAACTGTCCACGACCAGAGCCTCCACTCCTGAGCCAAAATAACCCTGTTCCCTATGTAAGTTGATTATCGCAAGTACCTGTTATAATGACAAAAAGCTGACTAACACTGTGACAATCACAAGTGTCTCCAGACATGGCCGATGTCCCCTGGGAACAGAGCAGCTTTGGCTGAGGCCCTCTGGGCTGTTTCCCCACCCTGGAACTAAGGATGAGGATCATTACCTCTGAAGCACTGGCCATGCAGTCCCAACACACTTGGGGCTCTGCCTGAAAGGGAGAAGCAGCCCCTGATGCTGGCCAGGCAGCCGACACCTGGAGGCCAATGCCAGAAGCAAGGCTGCTTCTAGTCCAGGGCTTTGTCCCCAACCCATACTCTTTGCTGTCCTCGCACAGATGTCCCCTGGAAGCCTGCAGGCAGCTAAGCCAAGCCCAGGCAGGAGACGATAAGCATCATAACATCATGCAGGGTGGACTGCAGATTCAGCTCAGTGGTTTCGCCGCCTGCTGGGCAAGCGCAAGGACCCGAGTTCAATTCCCACAACAAAAAAATAAAATAAATAACATCATGCAGGGTGCCCTGAGGACCCAGGAGGCATGAGTGCCTTCAGGTAGGAGCAACCAGAAACAGCTTTTCACAGAAACACGCCTGCACATCAGCCTTGCATGAGCAAGTTTGCAAGAGGAAGGTTGGGGGAAGGGATGAGGGGGTGCCCTGGAGTGAGTAAACAAGGGGTGACGGCCTAAGGCAGACTTAGGGTTACTGAATGGTCCAAAAGGGGCAAGGAAGGGCAAGTGGGCTGAGCTCAAGGAAGCAGAAAGACGAGTGGTTACTGGAAAAGGATTCCAGGTAAGTTGCTGAGCTGTGGTAGGAAGCTCTATTTTTCAGTTCAGGTGGGACGACAGAGAGTCTAAGTCTGAGGACAGATGAGCTTGTGCACAGTAGAGAAAGCATACTAGATGACATGCCATTGCCAGAAACAGACATCAGCAAAAGCCAGCTTAAGATGGAACAGGGCCAGGCACAGTGGCACACACACAGGGAGGCTGAGACAGCAAAATTGCTTGAATGCAGGAGGTCAAGGTCAGCACAGGCAACATAATGAGACCCCATCTCAAAAAAGAAAAGAAAAGAGGAAGATGAAGAAATGAAGGAAGGATTTACTAGAAGGATCTGGATGTGCTTATGGAAGTTGGCACAGGAAAAGCAACCTGGTCTCATGGGACTGGAACAAGGCAGAATGGGGATAATTACTGTCCCCTGATGCATCTGGCCTCTATGTCCAACCACGCACCCTTGGCAAACTCTGCTGTTGGGCTGGCCCTTTCCTCTGAGAGCTGGAAAAGACAAACTGTCACCCTTACAGCTCTTGAAGCTAAGATGGCCACAGGCGGGGTTCTCACTGGGAAATAAAAACAAATTTAGAAATTCTTTTGATCTTCAGGAAAGTTTTTGATAAAAGAGACAAATAGACCTGGCCCTGGCTTCATCCCCTGAGTTATGCCTGAGGCACACACCTCAAGGGCCAAGAGCTCAGGTCCTCAGGGTCCCACTGAGCTACTGACCTGCAGCCTCTAAGCTCCAAGCAGCTATCTAAGATCAGCAGTCATCTGAGTCTCAGCCATGGTCGGGGACAGCCAGGAACCTGAGATGCCGCCTGTGTGATAGCCAGCACCCTCTGCTTGGGCACGTAAATGATGGAGGGGCTCTTGTGGTTTCCCCAATTCAAGTATCCTGCAGCATATAACGAGAGTCTCCTTGTCCAGATTCCAACTCTTGGGTCCCATCATGGTGAGTTGCCCAAACCAAGCTGCTGCATGAGAGGACAGTATCTGGCAGAAACCAACAGAGCAGTCCAGGGGCTGCCTGTATGAATGGGCAAGGCTGGTGGGCTGGCCACAAGTCTACCTAGCTAGAAGCAGGGCCGGGTAGAGTAAGGGTTAAAAACAGACCAAGGGAAAAACTGCCTAAATCACCCCACTTGGAAGGGTTCTTGAAGTCAACCCAGACTTGATGGCAAAGTGCTCAGTAAGACTTTCAGCACTCAGCGTCTACCAGGGATGTGGACATAATATTTGCTACCTTGCTGAGAAGTGCACTCATTAGCCCATTGTTCGCTCAATGCTGACATTTCATGATTGGCATGGGTCGCTTATTAATCATTTTGCTGTACTTAGAAACCATTTCTTGAAAACCACTGATCATTTCTCTTTTGATGACTACTGCCTGCCTTTTCCTTTGTTTGCATAAACATATGTACTTGTACAAGTTTAGTGTTTCTTTCACTCAGTCACAGAGAGGTGGTGCCTGGGGTGGTGATGCCCTTTAGAAGGGATTGGTCAAGGTGTGCTGGCCATTCCCAAGGTTATGAGGCAGACTCTTGGATCTACATGACAGAGACAGATGACCCAAATGGTGACTCTTACCAAGAACATTCTACTCTACTCCAAGAGACATTGCAACACTGGTTACTTCAACGGGGTTCCTAAATTCTGTACATCTTCAAGGGTTTGTTAACAAGGCACTAACACAGCCAAGACCCAGGTCTCCTCTGGGGTGATATAGGGTAGTGTTTCTACCCTCTGGCTTGTCGCTTGGCTGAGGTTGGCATCGAGTGTTCCAGGATCACTAACCAACACCTTCCATATATTTGGATAAAGACTGGTAGAAGTGGGAGAAGCAGCTTTGCATTTAGCAACAGCCACTGTGACCAAACCAAATGTAAACCGAGACCAGGTAGCCAGGTGGAGGGCAAAAACAGGCCTGCAGCAAGGCTGAGTTTGGGGTGACCCCAAAGTCTCCCCATGTCCTAGTAAAGAGGAAGGCAGAAGCTGGACAACTGAGCAAGAGCCACCCTTTCCCTATCCCGGAGA